AAACAATAGTAGACACCAAACTGTATCCCCCTCCCCCAATGAAACTCCCCTAAAAGAAGTCCACCCTACACTACCCATCTGAGAGGAGAGAGAGGAGGGGGGGGGGAGGGGGAGGAGAGAATTTTTATATATACACACACGGTTGATCAATTAGTTGTCGTGGTTCACTGCTTGGAGAAGAACGAAAAAGGAAAATGAATGTCAATCAATTTATTCCGGCAAAAACTTCAATGGGAAAATTGTTAAACTTAAAACCTAAGAGAATTAATTACAACATGACCTAAACTTGAACAGGGCATTTTGTAATTAACCCTAAAATATTTTTCATGCACTGGTTGCGTGCAAATTGATCAGTGTGGATAATTTGGAGCAATTCAGTGACCTGTGTCTCAACCTGACAGGCGTTGCTACTTGGTATGTCTTGTGCGACTCCACCAACATGCTTATAACGCAAGCTCAAACAATGTGGACAGTTTTTGGATTTGATCTTTAAGAACCCAACAATATTCTTTTATTGGAGTAGGTACTAAAAACCCGATGGAATTAACAGTACTCGTCTGATTTCATCCAGTTGTGAGCTGTGATTGCTAATGTTTCCATTCATTCAGTGGCACGGTGGTTATTGTATTGAACAACCAAATTCATGGGCATTGATAGTTCATGTTTGGTGGTACTTCAACGGTGATGGCTTCCCAGGTTCCACTAATAAATTAGGAAAATAATTGTTGAGTTGAGATGCATGCATGTATGTATGTATTATTATTAGATATAACTAAAAGTCAAGCATATATAATTATAAAGCCTCCCCCATATAAAATGATCGATTAGCCAAGCATATATAATTATAACCATATATATATGGCCCAATATTAAGTCCTCACTGGTAATTTTTACAATTTTAAGGACACATGCATCATTGCTCAAAATAAAGTAAAGAACACTTCCTATTTGCTACATTATAATAAACAAATAGTGAATTACTAAGTCTTCAAACAAAAGTTTAAGTCACATAAAAAAACAAAATATAAAGTAAAAAATTTAAAAGATGTAATCTAGACAGATATCAAAAAACATGACATTATTATTGAGCATCATTTTCGGGTTGATGTTTCTACATATTACCTGTTGCTTCTCATTTGCAGGAAATGAACAATAGCTTTACGGAGGATGTTATGGATTTGCTCATTTTTAGCTTAGCTTTAGATCAAAGAGATGGTTATACATCATTCAAGATTGAAGATATATGCAAGCTTACAAATAAGTTTTATCCCATGGACACAAAACAAGAAAGGAAAATGCTATTTAGACCTAATTTAAAGACTTAATTCAATATAATCATTGAATTAGTTGTGATCTCCATTTAACATCGAAACTTACAACTAATCCAATAGTTACATTGAAGTCACATCATTAAGTCCCTAAATTACATTTGAAATTCTAACGGTAAAATGACGAACTTGTTATTCTTAAACATCTTGACTTTCAAAAGTTAACAATTTATGTGCCAAGTGCCGATGAAAACAAGAAATACAACAGTTTATCCTCTTATCAATATCGTATTTTAAAGATTTATTAGTTTTAATAGTGACAGCAGAATGCGTATTTTCAACTATGACAATTGTCACGACTAAAGTACTTAATATGATGAAGGATGATCTTCTTGCAAGTTACCTTATCGCACAAGTAGAGTAGAGAAAGACATTGCCAGAGATGTAGTTTATCCTCTTATCAATCTCATATTTAAAGATTTTTTAGGCCTAACAATGACAACAAAATGGGTATTTTCAACTATGACAATTATCACTACTAAACTACGTAATAGGGTGAATGATGATTTTCTAGCAAGTTGGTCACACACAGTGAGAAAGATATTGCTAGAGATTTTGAGCTGTTTCCATCAAGAATACGTTTTATTACATGAAAGAGCATCAAGCACTACTTAAGATGTGTAACTTTAGTGGGTAGACTAAAGAGGTGCTTGGATACAAGAAAATGCAGTCACTTATATTTGGACATTGTAGTTTAAACTGTCTATGCACAATTTTTGGTAAAATATATAGACAGCACCCTACTGCATGATCTCATGGTCGCAAAAAAAGAATCTTTTACATAGCACAACCATGCATATCAGTGATCATTTTGCTTAGCAAAAACTTAGGTTTGGTTTCTATTCAACCTATGTTTATATAAGACCCACCCAATTTAAATAGTCTGTTTGTTACGTTGAAACTATGTTAAAGATGGGCGAGATGATTGAGATGGTTTCCATTGGAAAGGAACTGTTATAACCAGTAGATGTGGACTTCCTTTCTATCCATTTGAAGGAAAGGTGAAGGTTTGCTGCTATATATGGTTTCTCTCTGCTTCTTCTTCTTCTTCTTTTTTTTTTTTGTTGTTGTTGTATTTGTCTAATGTAGATATGTGCATACTGTCATCTATGAATATTTAAACAAACAAGAAGGAAAACAAGCAAAGAAATAAGGTTTGTTACACTATGTACATGTATATGACTGTTTTGGGCTAAGCTTTGTCACTCTACTATATAAGTGCATGCATATGACTGGTGGTTTCCATTTACTAAAGGAAAATCTATGCGAATTGTTATTGAGAAGTGATCTCGCTAATTGACTATCCAACAAAAACGGCGCATAGTAATTAATAGAATGCCAGTAATTAATCACATAATTAATGCATGCGGTATTGGTACTAACCACGAATAAGTAAAGCAAAACACCAGTTCTAGTTACCAGATAGGGATAAATGGATATACTTTCTTTGACCTATATACATATATATATCTATATAGGTCAAACAAAGAAACAAACAAAAGTTCCAAGGAGAATTGCTTTCTTTCTTTTTCAAGTTTCAAAGTCACGCAGTTCCAAGTTTCTGGTACTATTCAAGTGTTTGTTTTTGCCCTTTTATGGGGAAATAGCATTACTCATTTATTTTTGTTACCTATATTTTAGTTAGAAGAAATTGTTTATAGGTTAGAATCCATTTATCGTAAATCTAAATTAGTATGAGACAGATAGATGTATGTAGATATCTGGCAAGGTGAGAGTGGGACGGACATTTTTAATTTTGTTATGCGTCTTTTGTGTCAGTTCATTCAGTTCAACTGCTATTTATTTATTTAATATCTTGCTTGTAACCAACTAACAATCAGATCTAGATCTAGTACCTTTCTTTTTCTAGCTTCCGTTTCTGTAAGGTATTGTTTCAGCAATTTGGACTGGAGGCCAAGAGAATTGACAGAAAGAAAGATCTTTGTTTGGTTCTGACAAGTTGAGGCTAGAATAGAACAGATAGGGTTTTCTTTTGCCTGGAGAGATAAACAGGCCTGCTCCCAGGCTCTTCACCGTGCCGTGACTTTTTCTATTTTAGGCTGGGCAGAAAATGAAGTTAAGGGACACAAATCAACCGCCCACACAGCCAAGAAAGATAGATATCCGCAGTTTAATTTGAACAGGGTGGTATATATGTACAAGAATTATTTACATACATAAATTTTAGCATAAACATATATAAGAAAGAAACGTTACTTTCCTAGTTCAGGAATAATCTAGGTAGCTGCTAGTTGAGAGCATGATCATGTCCTAATTAAATATTTCATCCATTCAAATTCTGGGGATCATATTTATATGTTATTATATATGATGCATAGATAGGATAGGAGGATGGATGTTGCATAAGAGATCAGTTGGATACACAGAAAACTTCTCTGTTTCTATGCACATCATTATCTTTTTCAGATTACAATCAACTAAGTTGAAGAGACGAAAAAATATTAGACAGGTCCAGACGAGACAGTACTTAATATAAACAAGAAGAAGTGAAGTATTGAACCTACATGTATACTGACCTCCGGAAGTCTTCCAATAATTTTTCTGCTCCACACAAGGTTTAAAACTCCTCCCTTTCAATAGGAAAGCCAGGCCACTGATTATAAGGTTACGACTTCAGCTTCAACAAAAATCTTTCTTGTCCTCCAAATAAATGTTGAGAAGACCAGACTGATTTCTTTTCCTTCCACAAAGAGTATTACTATTTCTTATACCTAATACTACCGTAATTGATAACAAGAAATCTTGCTTTGACATATCGTCTTATCTTATGCCTGCCTCCTCCTGTCCTCCATTACCAATTTAAAACTGAGACACACCCATGAAACCAAGACAACAACATGTCCCTCTCATTTTGTCACTATTCATAACTCCTAAAATGGAGGCCTCGCAGTCGCACCACTCCCTCCCCATCCAAACAAATCAGATGAAAAAGGAAAATTAGGCACGCTCCCTCCCACCCCCACATTAAACAAAGAAGCACCATTATTGCCGCCACCATCAGCCACTTGCCCACCACCTGTCACGCCTGACGACTGTGATGCAGCAGACTGGACTTGCACAACACCCTCCTCCTCCAACGGTAATCGTTCAAACACAGCATTTGCAAACGATGCGGCCATCAAAACCACCGGACCTGAAGCCACCAGCGGACCCATCACACTCCCTCCAACTACCTGTCCTTGTCCACCGGCTAAAAATATGGACAGACCACCGGCACCGGGTGGCGCTGGCGGTGGAAGCACTGTCCCCGAAATTGAAAGTATCTCAAATCGGCCATGGAGTGTGACAACACTTTCAGTTGGAGCTGCAGGCTGACGAATCCTGACGTTTGCGACGGTGCCAGTGCCGCTGAGAACACATACTGCTCTCCCCCTTCGCCTGGCATAATTTGAAACGCTTTCCATAACATCGGCACCAGCTGAGACTTCAAGTACGTGAGATCGAAGGGAATTTGGACTGTCTCTTGTGACAATTATTGGAGGCTTGGGCTTGTTTTTGGATCCAGGAGGACGGCCTCTTGGGCGGCGGGTAGAGGTAGAGGTGGTGGTGGCGGTGGCGTCGAGGTCAACCTTCTGATGATCTCTGTCGGGAGAGTCTTTGGAATCAGAGGAGGGTTGGATTATTGTCGTCTGGTTTTGGGAAAGGGATGATGGGCTTCGCAAGTGAAGATCGGGCGTGAGGAGCTGGTGAACGTAGCGAGAACCTGGGCCTGGTTCATAACCCCCCGCCATCGCCACACCTACACTCTCCCACCACTTGTTTGCCAGCTTATTAATTTCTCTATTTCCTTCTTCTCTCACTCGCACTCTCACTCTTGATGATCTGATAATGATCTTCTCTTTTGCGAGCACACATAATAAAGTTTTCTCAGCAGGTATAATTCAATATAAAGAAGTGATACCACACGATCAACAGAGTAATCACCCAACTAAACTGCTTTTACACTATCTACCCTTCACACACTTTTTTCTTTACCCACCCAAATGTGGTTCTACCTGCGGTAAGTTAAATGACCAGAATCCTGCAGTTGATTGGACACTAATTGGTTACTTATTTATTTTCCACCTGCTCAAACAAGAACGCTCAAAGCTCGATCACTTTAGTACTAAGCAGTCAAACGAAGTTGGATACAGATATATATACACACACACACACACACACACACACAAAACAAACCTGAAAACAGAAACTGCTTTCTTTGAGAGAAATTTTTTTTGTTGTTTCTATTTTTCTTTCTTAATTCTTTAATTCATGCCAAAATGAATAAAAATCAAAAATATGAGACCAAAAAACAATACTTTAAAATACAACATGAGTTTCAGGCAGATTAATTTCAGCTTATTGGAATCGGGTCCTTGGATTCAAGAAGAAGATAGAAACTATTAAGACCAGAACTGCTCGCTACGAAGAGAAGGGAGAAAGAAGATGCACTTAGCCGCTTATGATGGAGAGGGAAGAAACATTCCCCAAACAAGTCCAACTGCTCAGATATGGATGAAGGGCAAAAAGAAAAGGAAAAGAAACGACAAGAAAATATAGGAATCTATCAAGTTCTGTGACAAACACAACTCCACGCGCTTGAATAATGGAAAGGAAGTGAAAACATCTTGGTTTGTAATTACGAGGAAGCAACAGTGGAAAAAAGCGTGCACTTAAAGCAGGGAAATACACAAATGATCCCACATAATTTTCGCTATCTGATACTCATTAATATTTAATATTAAAGATTAAGGTTTTTTATATTTTACATCTTGAAAAATGTCTCGATTCCCACTTTACACATTAAAAAATTATTTTTTTTTATATTACACCATAAATATCGTAAATTGATTTTAATATGACCTTTGGATTAACGTCCGCTTTGAATTCTATTAAAAATTGATACATTTACCATTCACGGGTATTGCTTTTAGATAAAAATGTAAACTTATCATTCATATTCTTGAGTGACATGTACATCAATATTAACGGAATCTGAAATGGATGTTGTCTGAGGGCCACATTGAATCTAATTTATGAAATTCAAGGTACAATGTAGAAAACATAATTTTTTGGATACAAAGTGACAATCGAGATATCTTTTGAAATACAAAGTGTAAAAATACCTAAAAATTATACTAAATTACTTGGAATAAAAAACTTGGGAAGCATAATATTACTCATACCAACTTGGGAATCAGGAATACAGACACATAATATGAATACAATATAATATAGATATAGAGGTACGGTAAAACTCTAAAAAATAAAATATGGATATAGCTAGGATATATTTATAAAAAAATATATATTTTATATTTGTATTATTTTGCAACGACTTGATTAGAAGTATTTGTTGTTGACATTATAATGTAATCAACTCATTGATACTTTTTGAACATGTAATATCTGATAATACTTGAAAAATATTCATGTGTCTTTGAAGTGATATGAATTTTTTGTGATATATTGCTTTGCATGTCAAATTAAAAGAAGGGATAAATATTAAAACTAAAAATTATAAACACTTCTCAGCATATAGAAATGTTTGCGAAATATACATATATTTTATTTATTATTATATATGTTTAGCGTTTATTCAATATGTATCTTCGAATATCCGACGAGTATTATATCTAATACAAATATGTTGACTCTAATGAAATCTTCGTGACAACGCTCTTGTAGTTGTATGACACTCGAAAAATAACACCAAAAGCATGTATAAACTGATTTCTTTTTGCATAATTTATCAATAAACAACAATCTCGCTGCAATAATACCATAAAAAAGAATAGTGCTTTATTCAGAAATGTTAGGCAACTAAAATACTTTAATTTCTTTGGCGAGAAGGATGCTTGTTCCATGCTTTTTCAGATTGTGAGGGATGATGATAGTTTGACATACGCTCAAAAGAACGTAATATAAAATATCCATAACAAGTTTGTTATTGATGATACCAAGAAAAAATTTGCAATGCAAACAAGTCCACAAAGCAATGAAAAAATTGACAAACATAATTGAAGGTTAACTAACCAAAACCATCAGGGTTCAATAATCACCAAAGCGCCTTAGCAAGCATTGGAAGAAGAACAGAATAGGAGTTACACTACCAAACCCTAGTTTAGGCAAGAAGCCACCACCTCTCTAGAATGTCAGGTTATAGCTTTTCGAATGTCACATCATATTTAGGGAGAAGATCTTTAATGGCTAAATATTCTCTTAAAGAGTAATATTATAGAAATTTAATTTAATTACTTAATCAATGATCTAATTCAATACAGTTATTAGATTAATTATGAATTTTGATGTTACGTAGAACCCACCTTCAATCCAATATTGCATTGAATTAAGTACCCAAATTAAGTCATTTAAGTTAAGTCTAAATTACATTTTTCTCTCCAAATATTTTAGCAGACTAGGGGACCACATAATCATGGCTCGAGGACCCCACCACCCTTATGTATAAATTGCCAAGCTAATGCCTTGCCTATGCAATGGGCCATTAAGAGTCTTTATTGTAATTCTCTTCTTCTACCTCACGTAATACGAAAATAGAGGAGCAAGTACCTCCATTAAAATGAACTAGCATTTCAACTTGGTCAACCACTTATTTCCTAGTGTTCTTATTTTTCGTTCTCTTGTTCACATACACACAACTCATACACCTGACACAGAGCTCTAAGGGCTCTCCCAATTCACACTTCCTGATTGACATACACCATAATTTATTATATAGTAACATGAATACTAATGATGTAATTTATGCGGTTGTATAGAAGAGTTGGGGGCTAAAAAGGAGGAAATGAATTAAAGATCTATTAGAGATGATAATGGAGATTCAATGGGACATCCAGTCTGAGCTACTAGGTTTGTAGTGGTGAATAACCAATCACAAAGATAACAACCATCAATTGAAATCGATAGACATGAGATTTACAGTGGTTCACCTGCTTGAAAGTTTGGCTAGTATACTCTAATGAAGTTTCTTTCTCCTAGGATTTTTTTTATTATTTGGAGAAGAATATTACAAGGCTACATAGAGTTTATTCACAAATATTCAAATCCCTCCCAAAGCAAGGAATCGGTCCTTATTTATAGTGTGTAGGAGCTTCGCGTAATCAGCGTGATCCCTGGGTAGCCATTGTGATCCTTGCGTAACAGTATGGATTATTGTGTAATCAACTTGATCTTCTAGGGTTGTTACAACTAAAGTGCCGAAAATCTTTGACCGTTTGAGACTATATTCCCTAAGCGTGACATGACTTTCTAAGGGGTCCGATCTAGAAGACCTAAAGTGGAAGACCTGAATTGGAAGGTTTGAGCAAAGAGGTCCGAGTTGGAAGACCTGAGCTGCTTCCGAACTGAACTTAACTTTAGATAATTTTTGATATCATCAAATACCATTTTTCAATGGCTTTAAAACATGATTAACAATTAGAGCTGCTTTGTGCCAGTATTGAAGAAGCATAGATGGTAAATGCTTTATAATGGTCCTTAAACTTTTAATTTTTTTTTAATATAGCAGTTGAAGTTTTTAAAATTATTTAGTGGTGTCTTCGACCCGTGTCATCATGTGTCAAAAGTCAAGAGAGCTGGTTTTCCCTCACGTGAGAAACATGTGTCACTATTAAAACCAGAATAAAATAGAGCAAACTCCACTTTACCCCTGTAGGGCACTTTACCTCCTTGCAATCTAGAAACTTCCACGCAACCTTCACACGTTTAGTGGAGTAAGCCGCAATACTAACTCCGTTAACAAAAAAATTAAAATGACCTTATCTTCATCTCCTCCTTCTAAATGACCTCTATACCCTTATCGCCTTTTTCTTCCTCCCAACGCCATTCTTGCTTGAAACCCAAAATCAAAACAATTAAGTGATAATCGAACCCAACTCCGGCAAACAACTGTGGAGGACAAATCCCAACACAACTCCGGCGAACTATCTCCACCACCATACTAGACTCACTCCACGTCACTCTGGCGATCCACACACATAGCACACACGCAGACACAAACACACGTAGAAACAAAGAAAAATTATCCAAAATGAAGGCAAAAAATTTCAAATCAAAGTTAAAGGAAAACATTTCAAATCAAATTCTGAGGTCAAAATCTATCAGTGAAATTAGATTTCGTGGGTTTTCGTTAAAATTTGAAAAATCAAAATCAGAACATCATCATCAACGCCAAGGCCTTCTCTGCACCATTATTGCACCTTCACCACTGTTCCTCCATTAATCCGAGACTACAAAGATGGTCGAGTTCAAATATTTGGTGGGTTTTTATTGGACTTTGGTCAGTTGCAGTGGAAGATGTGTGTGTGTGTGTGTGCTCTGTGTGTGGGTCGCCAGAATGTGCTGCCTACTCTGTGTATGTGTAAGTATGTGTGGGTCGCTGGAGAAAAGGGGGGTGATTGAGAGAGATCAACGAAGGGATAGAGAGATAGCAGGTGACGAAATTTTTTTTAGGCGAGTGAGAGAGAGAGAGAGAGNTTAATGCATGATCCTATATGAGGGTACCTCGGGGGCGAGGACTTTTATGCGCCGATGGTGCTTGATCTTAGCAACAGTATTTTTGGTAATACCGAGGACACGTGTCTTCATCATGGAGCATTTCAGAAAAGTCCCATCANAAGTATGTGTGGGTCGCTGGAGAAAAGGGGGGTGATTGAGAGAGATCAACGAAGGGATAGAGAGATAGCAGGTGACGAAATTTTTTTTAGGCGAGTGAGAGAGAGAGAGAGATTGGGTGCAAGTGATGAGTTTTGTTTTTGGGTCAGCTGGGATGGTAGTTTGGCCATTTAAAAATATGTTTTTAAGGCAANCATTTCGTTTTTCGCTCCCAATGATGAAAATTACCTCTATATAAAGGGGGCTCCTCTTCCGTTTTCCTTGTTTTGTCATTCCGAACTTCCTCAAGAGAGCCTCTTCTTGAATCTTCGCCGGAGTTTTGTTTCTTCTTCCATCGTNAGGCAAACTCTCACTTCTAGAGCATGAGGAGCACGGTCGGTTAAATTAGACAGAAAATGTAATTTTATAGTTTAGTACATTAAATATGTGAGAGTTATGTATCAGTTTATAAAACGCAGGGAAGTAAAGTACATTTAAAGTATACGAGAGGGAGGGAGGGAGNTGAATCTTCGCTGGAGTTTTGTTTCTTCTTCCATCGTCGACTGCCCATTCTTC